TTTTGCGAGATCTCGCAAAACTAACTCGGGATCTCGCAAAAGTTTTGCGAGATCCCGAGTTAGTTCTAAAAATTGAGATATTTTTCGCACGTGTGTTTTATCATGTAAGAAACAGCAGGAAATGCTCTGTTTAGGTGAGGGAGCTGTGGGAGGTTCAGAGCAGACGAGTCAACGCACATATATACACGAGGCTGATTTCACATCTGTACTTCAGATCGTTTCTGTGTTTCCTGACATCAGACCTCCACCTGTGCTGTGGGCTTTAAACTAACCCTCACACAGGCTGCTGAACCAAAGCTCAGCTGTCCGTCTCCTCAGCAGGAAAGATCTTCGTGTGGAAGTGTTGGCACAGAAAGCTTTACTGTTACACACGTGATGTAATGTTACATACGTGTACTTTACATGAACACAAGTAAAATCACTAAAATGTAATATAACTCAGGTTCAGCACAGCCACCTTCAGCTGCTGAAGAGGAACTCAGACTGATTTGTACCTTTCGATGATGAAGAGTACGAGCGCGATCACAGCCAGCAGGACAACAAACACCACACCAGGTATCGGAGGAAGGTTACCACCAGCTGTGAAAACAGAAACATGTAGAAATCAACACGTTCTCATGTCACAAACTGTCGGTATGTTACGCGCTCTGAGGCAGGAGAGCGGGCTGGAGTGAATCTATAAATGTAAGGTTATGTCTAAGGTTAGGGTCAGGGCTGAAGTAGAAAGCCGCAGAGCCAATAAAGCGTCTCACAAGGACCTTTTGTGTTACTCTGACATCCAGTTGTGACAAACTGTCGGTATGTTACGGGTTGGAAATGAGAAAGCTCAGATAGAAATATAGCTTTAAAACATGTACTTAACAACCTGTTTTTACGTATTTAAATATTTAAGTCAGTTTTCATCCTGCATATAATTTATCATGAGTGAGTTTGTGCTGTCAGTGAAGTGACCTGATCATGTTTCTATTAACTTTAGTTTTCACAGAATGTCACTGGGTGCTGTTGAGGTGGTGTTTTGCTAAAAAAAGAAAAACGGACCTATCCTGTGTGTGGCGGTGTGAGTGGCGTTTTGGAGCGATTGCGGCTGAAGAGGAGTGAGTGTGCGTGGAGGAACTGTAGCGGTGACTGAGCTGAAGTGGAAGCGTGTGTGTGGATTACCCCCTTCTCCCTGGAGCCCCTCCCAACTCACTGTACATATATCGCACTGAGGTCTTCCATATTGTAAACAAACTGTCTTCGTTTGTGTGCAAAGAACTCTGTCTGTGCTTGAGTCCGTGCAGTAGCCATGCTTTTTAATTCTGCTGCAGATCTCATTAGATCATCTGAGGACAGAGGATGCACAGGTGAGTCCACCTGTGATGTTTAAAACAGGCTAACATTGCTGAAACATACAAACCATGGCAGGACTCAACAAATACATTTTCATTTGTATTCGAGTCATTTGACTTCTTCAGATGTTTCACCTTTTGTGTCTGAAAGTCTGTGTTTGGGGGAAAAAGTGAATTTTTTAGGGTTTTGCAAAAGTCTCAAGTTTTGGAGGCTCATAATGCTTTGGCATGTTAAAACAAAACTTGAATCTTTGCAAAAATGATTATTATTATTATTATTATTGTTATTGTTATTATCACTGTTTGTATTTGAGGTTCCTTCCTGCCAAACACCACGTAGCTCATAAAGTCACAGCTGTGAGGCGACTCTGTGGAAGAAGTGTCAGCATTTAAATAATTTGTGTGTAATCATTTTTTAGAACATCGTTTACAAAAAGCAAAGTTTATCATTTAAAGTTACTTGAAACCTAAAAACAGAATCAAATTCAAATTTGAGGTTCATCCTATCAAAACACTTTACCCGTCTTTGTTTCAGTTTTGCTAAATTTAACAATTTAATTTTAAGCATCCTCTAACTTTTTTCAGTTTGAAATTGTGGCCGGAGATCGCTCCCACATCTCTGTAGAGTTTGTTCTCAGTTTGATGACGTCTTAAAATGTTAAAAAAGCTTGAGAAAACTGAACAAACCTCCAGCCTCCACCTGCAGGCTGTGCGGCTCAGAGAGAGTCTCCGTGATGCTCTTCAGAGCACAGGTGTAGTTCCCAGAATCCTCTGCAGTCAGAGGGCTGAGACGGAGGGAGGGGCCAGTGTCTGAGAGGGTGTGGCCATCTTTGAACCAGGTGACCTCCAGTTGGTGGAAAGTGCAGACTGAAGCACAGAGCAGTGTGACGGTTTCACCTCTGCTCAACTTTTCATCTTCACTGGAGCTGATTATTCTCATTCTGCTCGAATCTAAAATCAAAGTGTTTATATTACTTCACACTTATTAATTCTTAATGATGAATGATTATTTGCAGAATTAAGATTTTTTGCTCTCACCAACAACTCTGACAGTCACTCCTGTCATGTTAGTAAAATATCCTTCATAATGATCAGCTTCCATCCTGAAGCGAAAGCTTGCGTGGTCTCCCTGCTGAACATCTCTGATCTGTAAAGTGCAGTTTGTCTTCTTGTCTCCCAGATATTGATAACGAGGATCGTTGTTTGCTGAGTCACTGTCATACACAGACGGAACGATGCCATGACAGATCGGATGGTTCTTACACCAGCGCACTCTGACGATCTTTAGAGGAACTTCTCTCCGACCATCACTGAAAGACTTCAGAGGTGTGAAGGTGCAGGGGAGGGTGAGAGTGGATCCTCTGACAGCACAGGTAGACGTGAAACGATAGATCACAGTTTGACCCACAGCACCTGAGTATGAAATATACAAAGCTGGTCAGATTAAACTATTCTGGGTAGTTGTTATGGTTGCACACAAACTATCAACACAACTTTTTTATGAACATAACTCCAAATTTCGAGTTACCAAATTTCAAATTATGGATACTTGTTTTTCTTGTTTTGTTGTGTTTTTTTAGTGGTGGAAACGGGCTTCCATACTGTAGTGTAGCTGTTATACTGACACGAACAAAAAAGGTACTGATGAGTTAGCAAACGCCTTGTCTTTAACCTCAAGGTCACAGTGACTACTTTTATGTAGAAATATATCAAATTAGAACAAAGCAGGAGTATCCTTTAACAAAAAAGCAGCTACATAACGTCACATGTTTGTTTGTTATTGCAGTGATGAAGCACATATTTTAAACCACGCCCACGATCCTTCCCTGAACCAAACCTTCACCACAGGACCGTCACCTCATAACAGCAACAAACAGCTGTTTATGTTTCAGCCACAAATCAACAGAGCGTCCACCTGACCTGAGCAGCCAATAGAAGAAAAGGGGGAGGAGCTAGAATTATGACTGGAGGGGGTTTGATTTGCCCGACATCCCACTGGATGCATCACTGCAGAGCTTTTCATGGTTCAGAGGGCGACTGTGATATTAGAGGCTTCGTACAGTCCAGATCAGAAGTTTAAGATCACTTGAAAAATGGCAAAAAATCATGTTTTGCACGGTTGGATCTTAACAAGGTTCCAGGTCGAGCTTCAACATGAAACGAGGAGAAATGAGAGTGAAACAAAACATTTTTTGAACATGCAATTTATTGAAAACAAGGATTAAACTGAAACAGGATGTTTCGAAAAACAAAAATACCCACAATTTAAAGTCCATAAAACCAGTTTTAGACACCAGTACACAAACAACAGCAGTTCCTTACTTTCTAATAAGAGTTTTTGATACGATGCTAAATAAGACAAACTGTAGAGATGAAGGCAGAAACACATCTGATAAGCAGGAAGACGTCACAGCAAAGCTGGCCGGAAAAAAAGAAGAACGAAGGAACGCGAGTGTCCGCCCAACAACTTCCTCAAATAACTGCCTGACTGTTCACGAGCAGCACCGATCTCAGGAAGGAGGTACGAGAAGATCAATGAGCAAATAAAAAAATAAAAAAGTGCCAATAATGAAATCAATGACTGCATTCATTGAACCCTGCTATCTTCAATATTAACTGTAAAGTTTTTCTATCAAGTAAATGTGACGTCAGTCAGAAATAAAGAGTCTGCTACAAAATGTTTGTGTGAAAACAAAAAGTTACATAAAATAACTTCTCCTTTTTATTTCCCCTCAGCAGCTTTAAGGTGGCTACAATGATCACATCCACCTCTGAAGCTGCTCGATCACTTATTGATCTTCTACATTCACACTCACATCTCTGACACATGGTTTCTGCTTTTGTGGCTTTAAACAGGATTCGGATGCAGAGCAGCAGCAGCAGCGAGTCAAAGGAAAACTCTGAACCCTGTTTTCACTGATCGTCACTAAAACAGGATCAAAATAAGACGTCAGTCTTACCTGCCAGCAGGAACATGAAGCTCCACAGAAGGTTTTTGTCCCAAACTGCCATCCTTAGTTTCTGCTGTGGCTCTGAGGAGCGAGCAGAGAAGAGCTGGATGATGAAATGAGGCTGAAGACTGAGTTGTCTCTGTGAATCTGTCGTTTCTTTTATGGTCACTTCCTGAAACCACGTGATTCATTTAAAAAATAGAAACAGTTTGCAGAAACTCAGAGACCAAAGCACTCGGAGCTGCAGGAGGAGGGTTTCATATTCATTAGATTTGCAAGATGCAACAAAGAGAACGAGAACGTTGTGTAAAAATCTTTGTTTCTTGTTTTATTCAAAGTTCTGTTTCATCATTTGCATGAAATCTCTGCTGAACATTGAAAACAAGTGTGGACACAAAGACAGAAGAA